ATGATTACAAATTATTTGTTGTTTGTGCAGCTTAGTCAAGAGTCCCTAATTGATGAAGTCGACTCAGATTCTGACGATTTAACTGTCAAGAAGAAACCTGTAAAAAAGTATGGAAAAAGAAAAATCAAAAACACTTTTCTTCAAGACTCGGAAAGTGACGAACCAAAGGCAAATAAGATTGTTATCATGCAGCTGCAAAAGAAGAAAAATGGGGGGCGAGTTTATAGCAAGAGACACTTCTGCCTCTACTGTTCAATGTCCTGCCACAAAATGTCCCGTCATTTGACTAGAAAACATGGAAATGAAAGTGACGTAGCCAGAGCATTGGCTCTACCTGTGAAATCTAAAGCACGTAAACTTCAGTTTGATTTGATCAGGAATAGTGGAAACCGTGAGCACAATTTTGAGGTTTTAAAGGCCGGCATTGGAACTTTAGTCCCAGCTAAACAGCCAAATTCCCCAGTTAAATCCAGTGAGTTTTTGCACTGTATAGACTGTGGGGCATTGCTTAAGCGAAAGTCGCTGTGGAGGCATGTGGCCAGGTGCCGGCTTTCACAGAAAGATGCCCAGGCTAAACCAGGTAGAAGTAGGGTCCAGTCCCTCTGCTCCCTAGCCCAGCCTGTACCGGAGGGCATCAGCAAAAAGCTGTGGTCTTTAATTTCGGCAATGCATCAGGATGAGGTCACGGGTGTTGTCAAAGCAGAAAAGGGGATTCTGAGACTCGGAGAGCACCTGTACTTAAAACACGGGCATGATAAGACTAAGCATGATTACATTAGGCAGAAAATGAGAGAAGTTGGTAGGTTAATTAACGAAGCAAAAACTGCAGGGAAACTGAAAACAATTAAGGATTTCTTTATTCCTTCCAACTTTAACCATGTGATTGATGCAGTCAGGTCTGTGGCTGGATATGATGAGGAAACAAATCAATACAAGACTCCATCCTTGGCCCTCAAACTCGGCCATAGCCTCAGAAAGCTAGCAGATATTCTTGAATGTGACTCAAAAATGGAGCATTGTGTTGATGAACTATTTATTAAAAACCTCCAACGAAGCCGGCTGCTTTTTGAGAAGAGGTGGGACGTCTGTGTTTCTTCTGCTGCCCTACAGACCCTCCGGCAAGCCAAGTGGAACACTCCGGACCTGCTCCCTCTGACTGAGGACGTTAGAGCCATGCATGCACATATTGAGGTATGTCGACCTGAATATGTGCAAACCCTAATAAGTGAGCCAACGTCTAAGCATTGGTCTAAACTGGCAGTTTTGACTCTTTGTGAGGTCATTATTTTCAATCGAAGAAGGGAAGGTGAGGTTTCAAAGATGCCACTGACAGCCTTTACCTTAAGAAGTAAGACTGGGATCCATTCTGACATTGCTCTGGGACTGTCCCAACTTGAGAAAAAGCTGTGTCAGCATTTTCAACGCATTGAAATTAAAGGGAAAAGAAGTCGGAAAGTGCCGGTTCTTTTGACTCCTGAAATGATTGCTTCGATGGAGGTGCTGGTGGAGAACAGAAGGGCCTGTTCCATCTCTGACCATAACCCATACTTCTTTTCCCGCCCGGGCGCAGACACCCACATCAGGGGATCAGACTCCCTACGGCAGGTAGCCAAAGAATGTGGTGCGGTGCATCCAGAGATGCTATCCTCAACCAAACTTAGAAAGCACATAGCTACTATGTCTACAGTTCTCAATATGAAAGAGAATGAAATGGACATACTAGCCAACTTCCTCGGCCATGACATTCGCATCCACAGGCAATATTACAGACTACCAGAGGGGACACTGGAGCTGGCCAAAATCAGCAAAGTGTTGATGGCCATGGAGCAGGGAAGAGTGACGGAATTCGAAGGAAAGAGCCTCGACCAGATACAAATTGAGCCTGAAGGTAATTCTTGATATTATTAAAATATGTATGATTTTTTTCCCCTAAAGGCCACTTGTATTTTTATTTTCTGTGCGACAGGGAGAGCAGTAGAGATCCTCTCACAAACGGACGGGCTAAAAGAAACTTCAAGCGGAGAACCTTCAACCATTCATCCAGATGCACCCCATGGTAGTGGCAGTGCCCCTTCTGGTAAGTGTACCAGGTGGGGGATTACAGCCAGGCTGCTTGGTCCTAACCCTGGGAGTGTATATTGCTAATATATTTTTATTTCTCTCCCTAGAACGTGTAAGAAAGCCATGGTCTGCATCTGAGGTGAAGGCTGTGGAGAAGACCATGACACCTTTCATACAGACTGGAAAGGTCCCTGGGAAGTCTCACTGCCTGGCCTGCATTAATGCCTCACCAGATGACCTTAGACATCGGACATGGGAGTGGCATTAAATTCTATGTCAAAAATAGAATCACTGCAATTCAAAAAAAAAATCTAAAATAAAATTCCTTTAAAATAGTTGTTTGGTTTCTATTGACTGTTTTGTATTACTTAAAGTAGTCCCAGTAAAAAAAGATTATGTCTATGGGTCCCATTCTGAACGGCCCTGTCAAAGGGACCCACCAGGTAACAAAAACGTGTATGTGTGTGTGTGTGTGTGTGTGTGTGTGTGTGTGTATATATATGTGTGTGTGTGTTTGCTAACCTACCACAGCCGGGTTTTCTTTTACAAGTACTTTTACCGGTCGTGGAAATGTCCTCTACCTAACCTCACCTCTCTCTCTCTCTCTGTCTCTGTCTCTGTCTCTGTCTCTCTCTCTCTTTCTCTCTCTGTCTCTCTCTCTCTCTGTCTCTCTCTCTCTCTCTCTCTCTCTCTTTCTCTCTCTGTCTCTCACTCTCTGTCTCTCTTTCTGTTTCTCTCTCTCTCTCTGTTTCTCTCTCTGTCTCTCCCTCTCTCTCTCTCTCTCTGTCTCTCTCTCTGTCTCTCCCTGTCTCTCTCTCTCTCTCTCTCTCTCTCTCTCTGTTTCTCTCTGTCTCTGTCACGCTCTGCCTCTCTCTCTCTCTGTTTCTCTCTCTCTCTCCGTCTTTCCCTGTCTCTCTCTCTCTGTCTCTGCCTCTCTCTGTCTCTCTCGCACTCTCTCTCTCTCTCTGTCTCTCTCGCACTCTCTCTCTCTCTCTGTCTCTCCCCCTCTCTCTCTCCCTCCCTCTCTCTGTCTCTGTCTCTCTCTCTCCCCCTCTCTCTCTCCTTCCCTCTCCCCCTCCCTCTCTCCCTCCCCTCTCCCCTGGCCTGTCTTGCTCATCCCACATGTCACATCACATTTCGCAGGCAGCCTCAGGAAAAGGGCAGAGGCCTGGTGAATTGATGTGGGTCAGAGGCAGGAGCGCGGCCCGGACAAGGACGAGTACGCGCACACTCGCACAAAGGTGAAACAGAAAGGTGAGGTGACGCGGCGGACGCAAAATGTCCTTCAACTGTCGCCCGCTGTCAAGAGGAATGAGGCTTGTGTGAGCAGGGCCTCCGCCTCCCTACTACCTTTCTATTCAGGAAAACACACAATCAGATTTAGTTGCCGTTTGCAGTAAAACCACATTGGAATACTTGTGCAAGGGTCCCCACTGTGAGACCAGACAAGTACAGGAAGAAAAGAAGCAAAAATGCATAGATAAAACAGGTTCAAGTACAGGAATCAATTGTCTTTGTGAAGTCGACCAATAAAATCAGTTTCAACTCAAGAGTAAGATTATTTAAAGTTTTAATGATAACCACAAGAGGTCCTGCATCTCAACGAACGATATCTTCTGCCAGAGGGAAGAAGCTGGAACATGGCTTTTTCCAGGGGCCAGAAGAGTATTATTTTGAATATTTTAAGCGCTGGGTTTAAGAGTCTGGATTTATAAAGAACCTTCAGAACAGGAAGCTCACAGTCCTAAGTGTCAAAAAGTTCATTTGGTCTTCTTATGTTGAAGGCTTAGAAGGTTCTTTTAGTGAGACAATTGCCGCACATGACGAAGGAGGAAGTCTGCCCCCGAAATACAGCTAAATGCTGCAGGTAAACAGTGTGTTGCTATGGTAACAAGAGCTGGCTCCAAGCTGAGGTTGCTCTGAACCAGTCCAGGACCAGTCTAGGGTCGAGATATTAATAATAACAACATAATAATATAGCTATAAACTACTTATAGAAACAGAAAAAGTCACAAAGTTCACACTCAAGTTATGAAGACCAAAGAATTATAATCTGAAATGTTAATGTTTACAATAGAAATCAAGACAGACAGAATAGCTAACCCACTAACCCAAGATAGAAGCATGACAAAAGAAACACAAAGTATGGACAAACAAGGGATAAACAAAAACGACAAATAAGAAAAAAAAACTTCAAATGTCTAATAATCAGAATTTCTTTCCAATGATAAAAGCGTCAAGATTATTATGCCTTTTCTTTTTCTGTTTCAACTGAGCTTTCTTCTAAATTGTGATATTGCTCAACATAATAAACATATCTTGCAGTATATAGGAGGATTTTCTACTTCTGGGTGGATTAAGACTATTGGTCAATTGTCTATCATTCTGCTGATACATGCTCGTCCAATAAGACCAGAGAGTTCTGTTCCAAAAGTGGAAAGGGCGGTTCTTTTCTCAAATTTGGGAAAATCCTCCTAATATACCCTTTAAACGCGTTTTCAAAATCTTAATCATCGCCTTTATCTCAGTGACCTGGATACAATCAAAGCTGGGCAATGTCCCCACCTATTGGCCAACCCGGGTCATGACAGCGCAGCCTGTGGAGATGCAGGCTGAGAATATATGAGATAAATAACCAGTGATATTGAACCCATTCATCATCCGCTGACAGTAAATTCACACAAGAAAATTGACATTAGCTCATAAACATCTATCACCGGCGTGCGGATCTGGCAACACACTTCCCGCTCGCTGCAGGAGGAATGTGAGGCAGATGCAATGGAGCAGAAGGGAGCACATTATGATACTTTTGTGTTTTATATAGCAGCTCTTTCTCTCCATCGTTAGTGCCTTCTTCTTTCTGTCCCGCTTCAGTTCCAGTCTGCGGGCATGGTGTTCCAGTGTGTGTCCAGTTTAACCAGTCTCTCTTCTCTAATTGGTTAATAGGGGTCGTCGTGGAGGGGAATCCCAGGAGCCACTGAGGCCTGCTTCATGCCCACTGGACTGGAAGGAAGCCAAAAATGCAGTCGTTCACACCCCCCCACGCATTCTCCGCAAGACTGGGGAAGATTGGGCCTGGAAGCCTGCAGGGTTCAACAGCTGTGGAGCTTATACTGGAGGAAATCTGGAGCGGGTTTGCATCGATAAAAGGATAATAATACATTTTGCCAATATTCTCAATAAGACACTAGGGTTGTTAAAGGTTTGGGTAAATAGATATTAAATCGTCCTTAAATGTTTAAGATTTTCATGTCAAGTTAAAGGGCCCTAATCTGTGAAAAGGCATTAATGAAACATGCTCTTTTCCAATACGTCTATCACTGATAACTGTAGTTCAGAGATTTTTGAATTAAAAAATTAGTTTTACAGCCCCTAAATCTTGTTTTTACTTTGATGTCCCGCCCTCCACCGTTTCACCAATCAGAAAGTCTGGGATCCGGGTTGCCATAACTCACCGTGCTGCACTAATCTCACTGATAAAGTACCATGTCAAGTCCAGTACAAAAAAGGTCTTGTTATGATTCTTCACTGATTATTGACAAAACAAGGAATAAAAGATTTCTATCGGGGCCTTTGAGAATAATAACAAAAATAATAATGATGCATCGACACTCAAAGGCGCTTCACATGTCATTATTTATTCACTCCATACACGGTGGTGATAAACTACTGTAGCCACAGCTGCCCTGGGGCACACTGACAGAAGCGAGGCAACCAGTCTGTGTCATCGGCCCCGACCACCTCCAACCATTCATACACACACCAGACTCATTCTAGGCAATGTGGGTGAAGTGTCTTGCCTAAGGACACAGCACCAGTTTGGAAAAAGGTGTTGGTTAAATATTGGTTCAGATATCATGGTCCCAGCAGTCTGTGTATCTGGCAACCTGAGTCACGGACAGTGGGCGAGGCTGCAGTACAACTTTTGGCCACATTTTTACATAATTCTCCTTTAACCTTGAAACAACACAAAAATAACTGAAAACATTTGCCAACACGGATCAGAGGGTCAAACAGTTCAAACTCAAGAAATGCAACGATAAAAAACCACATAGAGCCACTGGTCCAGTGTCTGGTCAGAACATTGTGGTACCATATACACCAGGGGTCTCCAACCTGGAACTCAGGAGCTACCAGTAGCTCGCCTGCTCCTTTCAGGTAGCTCCCCAAAGGAATTAGAATTTAACACATAATCCTGACTGAATACCACTTGTGTCATTACGTATGTGTTATAAGTATAAATATCGGGTTTTACAGTGTTATAGTATATTTTTCATGTGTTTTCTATGTTTTGTTCTAATTATGACACACTTTCTGTCTCTTCTGTTGTTTAAAAGTAGCTCTCCAATTGAAATAGGTTAGAGACTCCTGATACATATAACATAAATTTGTATGATTTCCTGTTAAAAACGACAGATTATTATAAAAAGTAATATATTTTTGAATCATCTCGGCGAAACTGATTATCAAATCTTTTTCTTAATGTCAAAAATCACGTTTGTTTTGTTAGTACGATTACACATAGAATGAGTCAGACCTATTTTGAAAGCGATGTCAGCATAATGTTTGCATATTCTTCTCACTGCAGTTTTAGACGAGCCTGGCCTTAGCCATCCGTAAACTCCGGTCAATTATCAAATGAAATGAGTACGATGGTATGGTAAGGCCAGGTTTAGACACCTGCCGCTCAGTGATCCAGGAGGTTCTGTGTCGCAGGCTCAACAACGAGAGGACAGATTTGTTGGTTAATGTTTTCCAGGAATCGATTATGAAATTACAAAACGTTTAGAATCAAATATTTTTTTAAAAACTGATTTACTTTCGCTTTCATTTGCTTGAGCTTTTATTATTGAGAACGATGGCGGCGTTCTCGTCTCGCCCTGTCGTCCTGAACTCTCGATACCTTGCAGCTGCAGCGGTCAGGGTTCAACTGTGAAAGCGGAAAATGTCAAATGCCTTTTCACCTCCTGCCAACGCCGGCTCGGTTCATCTCCGTGGAGCTCAATAACCGCAACACACCGGAAGCACCGAGGCCGGAGACCGAATGTTCTGTCGTTACGTAACATTTGGACATTACGTCATAGATTGGGCCCGACGTCCCCGCTCTCATGTCTGTGTGGAGCAGAGAGCATGGGTCAGGATTGAGATTGAGAGATATTGTATTGCTGGAGAAATGTCAGTGTTGTATCAAAGGTTACAGAAGGAATGAGGAGCAAACAGCAAAAGATAAATGAACAACTATGTACAAAAATATAAGAAAAAGTATCTAGCATTAGCATAAAGAATCAAGTCTGAAATCTCCAACTTTTGCATAATAAAGAAACTAGTCAAAAGATGAAGATTAAGAGACGCTTTATAACGGCAGGGAAATTTCAGTGTTGCATCATGTTAGCAGCAGTATGTATACATCTGTACATTAGCAGCAGTATGTTTACATCTGTGCATTAGCAGCAGTATGTTTACATCTGTACATGTTAGCAGCAGTATGTTTACATCTGTACACATTATCAGCAGTATGTTTACATCTGTACATTAGCAGCAGTATGTTTACATCTGTACATGTTAGCAGCAGTATGTTTACATCTGTACATTAGCAGCAGTATGTTTACGTCTGTACATTAGCAGCAGTATGTTTACGTCTGTACATTAGCAGCAGTATGTTTACGTCTGTACATTAGCAGCAGTATGTTTACGTCTGAACACGTTAGCAGCAGTGTGTGTACATCTGTACATGTTAGCAGCAGTATGTTTACATCTGTACATGTTAGCAGCAGTATGTTTACGTCTGTACATGTTAGCAGCAGTATGTTTACATCTGTACATGTTAGCAGCAGTATGTTTACGTCTGTATATGAGCAGCAGTATGTTTACGTCTGTACATTGGCAGCAGTATGTTTACGTCTGAACACGTTAGCAGCAGTATGTTTACGTCTGTACATGTTAGCAGCAGTATGTTTACATCTGTACATGTTAGCAGCAGTATGTTTACGTCTGTACATTAGCAGCAGTATGTTTATGTCTGTACATGTTAGCAGCAGTATGTTTACATCTGTACATGTTAGCAGCAGTATGTTTACGTCTGTACATGTTAGCAGCAGTATGTTTACATCTGTACATGTTAGCAGCAGTATGTTTACGTTTGTACATTAGCAGCAGTATGTTTACGTCTGTACATGTTAGCAGCAGTATGTTTACACCTGTACATGTTAGCAGCAGTATGTTTACACCTGTACATGTTAGCAGCAGTATGTTTACATCTGTACATGTTAGCAGCAGTATGTTTACACCTGTACATGTTAGCAGCAGTATGTTTACGTTTGTACATTAGCAGCAGTATGTTTACGTCTGTACATGTTAGCAGCAGTATGTTTACATCTGTACATGTTAGCAGCAGTATGTTTACGTTTGTACATTAGCAGCAGTATGTTTACATCTGTACATGTTAGCAGCAGTATGTTTACGTCTGTATATGAGCAGCAGTATGTTTACGTCTGTACATTAGCAGCAGTATGTTTACATCTGTACATGTTAGCAGCAGTATGTTTACACCTGTACATGTTAGCAGCAGTATGATTACATCTGTACATGTTAGCAGCAGTATGTTTACATCTGTACATGTTAGCAGCAGTATGTTTACACCTGTACATGTTAGCAGCAGTATGTTTACGTCTGTACATGTTAGCAGCAGTATGTTTACGTCTGCACATGTTAGCAGCAGTATGTTTACGTCTGTACATGTTAGCAGCAGTATGTTTACGTCTGTACATGTTAGCAGCAGTATGTTTACACCTGTACATGTTTAACAGCAGTATGTTTACGTCTGTACATGTTAGCAGCAGTATGTTTACACCTGTACATGTTAGCAGCAGTATGTTTACGTCTGTACATGTTAGCAGCAGTATGTTTACACCTGTACATGTTAGCAGCAGTATGTTTACGTCTGTACATGTTAGCAGCAGTATGTTTACATCTGTACATTAGCAGCAGTATGTTTACACCTGTACATGTTTAACAGCCTGTGGGTCTGGGACTCAGTAAACAGCACATTCTGACATTAACTAAAATTATTGCACAGATGCACAACATGTGAGCTGTAGGAGCTCATGGTGCTGTCTCCAAGCAGAAGATGGAGAATGACTGAGTGAAGCAGCCAATGGGGTGGAGGGCTGGTGTGTGTGTGTGTGTGTGTGTGTGTGTGTGTGTGTGTGTGCGTGTGTGTGTGTGTGTGCGTGTGCCAGTGTGAGTACGCCCATGTGTGTGTGTGTGTGTGTGTGTGTGTGTGTCTATGAGATGGTAGGTGGGCAGGAGCGTGGTGCATGCTGGTATTTCTGCCCTGTCGCATCGCGTTATGTGCATCCAGGCTCTGGACAGGCTCTGGACGCGCACGTTGGAATGGGGAAGGACGCACTCGAGTGGCCGCGTGCGCTGGAGCGTCCCACGGGGCGCGCAAGGACATCCACAAAACAAGCGGCCACCCGAGGAGCTCTGACAGAAACCAGGGGAGAGACCTCAAACTCTGCAGCGGCCCTCGACCAAACTGAAGCCTCATGTGTTCTGTGGCACTGCTGTAAAACCACCAAAAACACTGGAATTCTGCTTCTTTTGTATTAGTGACTGAACAATTCAATGTGTTCTTGCATAGCCCTAAATCACAGCAGTTATCTCAGAGGATTTCACAAAACCGTTGAAATCACCAACACGGATCAGAGAATCAAACAGTTCAAACTAATAAATATGTAGAACACATAGTTGGGTGGCACTCTCGCTTCTCAGCAAGAAGGTCCTGCGTTCGACTCCCGGTCGGAACGGGGCCTTTCTGAGTGAAGTTTGCATGTTCTCCCTGTGTCTGTGTAGGTTTCCTCCAGGTACTCCGGTTTCCCCTACATGAACAATAAGTCTGGCATGCTCCAACATAAATGAGGTTCAGCTTGATTTAAAGCTGTGGTACCTTTTTTTTTTTCTTCTGCAAAATGTAAAAATGCACAGCTGCTGTCACCTAACTACATATACGCCGAGTCTGTGTCTTCTTTCAGGTTCTCAATCCTTTACTTTTCTGTCTGAGTGTGTATGTGTGTGGGAAGTAGTGATAACAATTGAGAAATAAATGATTGTATGATTTAAAAGCCAGATCCTGTCAGAGCCCTGAAGCTAAGCAGGGCAGGACCTGGTTAGTACTGTGATGGGAGACCTCTGGGAACACCCGGTGCCACAGTGGGGGCGACTGCAGCTGTAAAGTGCCAAACTGTGGTTGTGTCCTTGGGCAAGACACTTCATCCACATTACCTAGAATGAGTCTACCTGGTCTGTATCATTTATGTGGGTCAGTATAGTGAAATGTGTATCTTTTTTTTTCTGCTGATAAACAAAAGAATGTGTGTGTGTGCGTGTGGTTGGTCATGCTGGGAGGGGCCGATGGCACAGACTGGTTGCCTCGCTTCTGTCCGTGTGCCCCAGGGCAGCTGTGGCTACAGTAGGATGGAGTTAATGAAACATGTGTGAGTGTCCTGAAAAGCACTGTGTAAAACCGACGGAATAAAACCCAGCACGTCAAAAACGATGAATTTCAAGTCAATTTCACCAAAAATGTCCTTTTATCCAGCATCCAGTGGTTGCGGTGATGATGGGCAGAGAACAGGTTGTGTCCTTGTGTGTTATTACAGGCGTGTGTGTTTTGTGTAGAGGCTCCGGGGCAAACGTCTTTCCAGATGTGGAGAACACACAGAGCAGAGAGAACGAACCACAACAAGAAACTGTGCAGCTGTTCCTACAATACACACACACACACACACACACACACACAAACACACACACATCATCAAAGTGGAGCGGGACCCGGCAGTAGGAGAAAAACAACTCTTATTTTAGTTTGTCACAACAGAGAGGCGGCTCTAAAGGCAGCAGTACACACTTCTCTGCACACAGAGGCCGAGGACCAACAAAGAGCTCGCAGAATTTGTCGTCGATTATAGATTTTCACCACAACAGATTCATGTGTCGAAGCGGAGCGAGCGGATGTATTCACAGAAATGCATATTCTTTTCATCTTTGAAGCAGCATAAATGTGTTTTCCCACTGGGTTTCTTTTGAGTCGCTCCTTGATGATGCAGGAGGGTCTAAGGACAGTGGTGATCCAGGACTTTTAGAAGAAGAAGGTCTTTTATTCGTCGCACAATGGGGAAATTTCAGTTTGATGCATACACATACACATAAAGGCAAGCAGCGAACTTCCACGCTCTTTATAGACAATGTGGGTTAAGTGTCTTGCCCAAGGACACAACGACAGCAGATGTCAGTGGAGTCGGTGGAGAAGATCTTGTGGTGGGCCCGAACAAACGATCTTCAGGTTCAAAGGCCGATGTTGAGCTACTGTCGCCCTTAAGGACCTTTAGGGAGTAGCTTTTAAGGAGTAGTCTCTGGGTGGAGCAGGACAGGTCACAGCAGCAGAGGTGGAGTAGCCTCTGGGTGGATCAGGACGGGTCACAACAGCAGAGGTGGAGTAGCCTCTGGGTGGAGCAGGACGGGTCACAGCAGCAGAGGTGGAGTAGCCTCTGGGTGGAGCAGGACGGGTCACAAGGTGGAGTACCCGCTTGGTTTGGACCATTTTCTCTGCTCTAGTCCAAAGTAAAATGCTAAATGCTTCATTAGCATTTTTCAAAAAGTTAGCATTCCTCCAGTGGATTTTCACCTGATCCGCTTCGTTTGGACCATGAATCCTCTCTGCTCTGGTCTGGTCCAGTGCAAAACCATGAACAAGAAAAAAGCAAGAAAGATAAAATGTATAAAACAAAAAAACAACAACTGTTTCAGAGACACTTAGGACCTGCTGCCGTTTCCAGCGCATACAAAAGTAAGAGCGTAGGGACCTGTAGGGACTTTTAACTCATTGTGTCCCATTGACGCACAAATACGTCAAAGCAAATAGTAACGTCGTGTGCCATTGACGTATTAATCCGTCAATTGCCTTTTTCGCTATTTTCACGTTCCCAGATGTCTATTGTATCTAATATGTATGGGGATGACTTGAGACCATATTTTATCGAGCCAGCAGGTGGCAGCATTGCTCTCTGAATGGTTTGAAAACATGTAGGTGCACATGTTGTGCCTCTTTTTTCTCAACTTTCTGGTGATTTCTGGTGATTTCAGTAAAACTTCCCTCTACTCGACGGAGGATTACAGGGGAACGAAAAAAGCTATAAACAAAATTCTTTTTGCTGATGAAAGTAGACAGTCCATTCTTTTAGAATCTGGTGTCGGATTTCAGATAGTCATAGTACACAATATTCTGTGGGTCTTGAAAAATCAGTAAAAATCATCAGAAATGGCTGGCACTGTGGGAGTACCTGTTCTGAAATAGGCATTCAATGAGTTAAGGACCTTTAGGGACCTTTAGGGACCTTTATGGACAGTGTTCTAAAGAAACAGACTTCTGCTTCTGTGTTATCTCATCATCACTGCTCTTCTTCAGTCTCTTCACATCTCGATGAGTTTTCAATCGATAAAATAGTTCAAAAAGAGTTAGCTGACTTCATAAATCTATAATCCATTCTCTGATCTGCTGTCGGCGAATCGATAACTTTGTGTTGTGAGTTAGGGTGTCACGAATACATTGAATTTAAATTAATATTTCTAGGGGCGACAATATATCAGTCGGTAGAGCGTTGGTCTTTCAGCCTGAAGGTTTGGGTTCTATCCCACCACAAGACCTTCTCCACTGACTCCCACTGATGTTGTGTGTGCTTGGGCAAGACACTTAATCCCTCTTTGCCTGAAGCCCCCGCTGAAAGATCAAGGCTGTGACAGAGCAGCCTCCTTTGGACTCACCGCCTGCAGAAAGATCAGACATTTGGGTGTCATGGAAAATTCAATTCTGTAAAATTCTATACAATTCCTTAAAGGGGACATATCATGAAAAATCCACTTTTTGTGTCTTAAATGCCTTATGTTGTGTAGTTGGAGTCTCTAGAAGTGCAAAAAAGTTGAAATCAGTCTCTTCATGGGTTGCAGAGAACACTTCATATTCCGTTTAGGTAAGATTTTTCAACCCGTTCTGATTTTGCCATTCTCTATTACGTGTTTGGAATTATTACGTCACAGTATTTGCAGCGGGACTGCTATATAAGGGCATGGGCGTCTAACAAAACACTTCGGCCCAGCCCTCCTCTACTGTGCATCACTTCGAATTTGTAGTCCAAGCTCAAGGATGCCAGCGAACAGGGCTGGACTGGCCATCGGGCGTACCGGGCAATGCCCAAAGGGCCGATGCCCATATTTGGGCCGGTCTGTCTGCCTCATACAAAACACATGTTTATGAGAAGTGTGAATCCGTTGAGAATTGTTCGAGCGGGGCGCCCGTATCCGCGGGGCACCTGCTGTATGCACTCGAACGGGATTCCGCCACCTCAGCGGCCGCAGTGTTCCGGGGCATCTGCGGCCGCTTTGTAATGAGCAGCTTCCGCGTCCAGCGGCTGCGAGAGGCTGTGAGCGTCCAGCCGCTCGCAGCCGCTCCACCGTGTTGTGGCTGAGCGCGCAGCCTCAACGTGGCCATGTACCCAACCCCATAAACGCGCACAGGAACATGCGTGTCTTTGAGTAATCTGTGCACCCAATAAATACACTGCTGCAAGAAACAGTCCGCGTCTCCCCTTTCCTCTCGAAGCGCGAATAAACGCCCTACATAAAGCTCTGATACCTACATTTTGCATTGCATTAAAAGTTCATGTTTGAGCCCAAAAGTAATATGTTGTGAACAAATTAAACAGATTTAGAGCCAGCAAATGGCTGACAATATGCATTTCAGTCTTTTTTGACCAATTCTCATCCCTGTAACAAACAATAGTGTTGTCTGTGTCCACCTCCCTCACTCTGAGACATGTTCATTACCCTCTTGTAATGTAGACTATTGCATTTTATTTTATTGTTGAAACTGCACATATCCTGATCCTCTACAGTATTTGCTTCTACATACTGTATAAACTAGGAGTCGGCAACCTGCGGCTCCGGAGGTGCATGCGTCTTTTTCCTTCTGTAGAAGGAAAAACGTTCTTAACGTTTTTAAATGCTGTAAAATTGTGCATAAGTAATATTCAATTTAAACATTTCTGTCAACGTAGTGCGTCTTATCCTGCGACGTAGGCCCGCGCCAGGCGGCCGCTGTTGTAAACAAACCGGCATGTGAGCTCTGCTTGTGTACAAGTCTCTCCATGGCCTCGCTCCAAAATATATTAGTGACATGTTAGTACCATACGAACCAGCCTGGACTCTGAGGAGCACAGGGACTGGACTTCTGCTGGGACTCTGAGGAGCACAGGGACTGGACTCCTGCTGGGACTCTGAGGAGCACAGGGACTGGACTCCTGTTAGTGCCCAGAGTCAGGACTAAACATGGGGAGGCTGCTTTTCAGATTCATGCTGCTAAAATCTGGAACAGTCTTCCTGAAGATGTGAGACAGGCCTCCTCTCTGACAATGTTTAAAACCAGGTTAAAGACAGTTCTGTTTAGCTGTGCATACAACTGAGGGATTTTATATTTTTATCTTTCTTTTTAATGTT